GAGAGAGAGAGAGAGAGAGAGAGAGAGAGAGAGAGAGTGTGTGTGTGTGTGTGTGTGTGTGTGTGTGTGTGTGTGTGTGTGTGTGTGTGTGTGTGTGTGTGTGTGTGTGTGTGTGTGTGTGTGTGTGTGTGTGTGTGTGTGTGTGTGTGTGTGTGTGTGTGTGTGTGTGTGTGTGTGTGTGTGTGTGTGTGTGTGTGTCATTGTATATAAGTCCAGAAAGGCATGTCAGTTGTATATCTTCAGATTCTAAGTACTTTTTACATTGCATCTTTTTAGTATACACTTGCTATGTATGTAGTGCACAGAGTGCTTTTAGCAGCAGTGAGCAGTCATGCCTTGTAATGCACAGCATCAGATTGCAACATGAATGACAAACACCTAATGAAGAAAAGCAGCTCCTGAAGGTTAGTGATGATGGCAGCAGGGCAGAGCTGATTATAGAGCTGTATACCTATTCTTTGTTAGAGGATCTGATGGCAGCCAGGAGATACTGTGATTGGTCCTTTAGTGAATGCCCAGAAAACTCCTGTAACAGCTTGTCCCACTGATGGTTAGAGAGAGGTGACATAGGAAGAGAGCTTAATGCACAGGCTCATACTGCTGTACTCTGACAGATCCATTACATCTGTGTCTGGCTGGGAACCCTCTCCATGGGATCTATGGAGTTTCCAAATCTGGCTCCAATTATGTATGGCTGGATCTCGAAGGGGTGGCACTGTACCCATCATAGACCTCTCTATCCCTCCACTAAATGACCCAACTGGATTGAATCCTCCTCACTCCTGGGGAGATCTGCACCAGAGATCAGAGCAGCATCTTTGGAAGGAGGCTGACTGGGCAGGCTGCAGGCATCTGGCTGTGAGATCACAGGCGTTATAAATATATCAGGCAGTGCCAGGGCTCAGGTTGGGTCTATCTGTGCCTGGCAGCCACACACACATATACACACACAAACACACACACAACTGAACAGAAGAAGCACATTACAACTCAGCCACTGACTGCTGCTGCCACAGCACGGGCTATCAGGGCAGCAAGATGCACTTGGGACATTGTGCATTGGAAGAATGAAATTGCATTTATTCTGTTTTTTCATACTTTACTTGGTCTCCACACTCAGCCTGATCACCACAGTGTCAGCAGCCAGCAAGGAAAAGAAAGCCAAAAGCAAGGGGGCAAAAGGAACCAGCAGCCTGGGTAAAAAGCACAGGGGCAAATCTTCACCCTCAGTGTCTCCTTCCTCCCCTGGCACAGTGGGATCAGAGGGCATCAGTGGGTCTTTGTGGAGCACATCTGGCCGTAGGACTGGCAGCTTGTTCTGCAGGGTGGGCATTGGATTCCATCTCCAGATTCACCCGGATGGCAGAGTCAATGGATCTCATGAAGCCAATCATTTAAGTAAGTGAAAGTACCCTGAGTCCCAGGCATGCACGTCTTAAACCATCTCAGGAAAGCAACATTGTATCATAAACACATAGGTAGAGAGGCATATCAATTCCCCCTGACGGCTGCTATTACTAGATCATCATTCATATATTATTGGCAGACATTAATGTCCACAAAATCATAATAAATAGAACATAAAAAATGTATAGTCAGTCACGTGTGTAGTCTCACTAACAGTTATCACATTCTTTCACTACTCAGTACTTTTATAGTATATGTTTTTTATAGTATATTTATTTTAATGTATATATATATATAAATATATTTATTTTAAAAATACAATATATATATTATTATTATTATTATTATTAATATTATTTGTATTTACTAATTCTAAATATATGTTTGATAACACCATACCATCTATCTATGACATTACAATGTGATAGATCTATTTATATTATGTAACAGTAAGGAATAAGCACCAAAGATGTATTTATTGCAACAACAACAAAAAAGTTTTCTAAAGTTCTCTGAAGTACCTGTTAAATATTTAAATGCGGAAACCCGGATCCTTCCTATAGTAGTATGGATGGCGACTAGAATAATCAGAAATTCAATACATATCTGAGACACGGTGTAACATCCTCTACTTGGTGTGCGGTACGTTAGGCGTCATGTTTAAAAGCTTATTATGAATTATTAAAGCCAATTTCCTTAGCATTTTATCAAGCAGTGCAGACATTAAAGATTATATAGCTGATTGCACATAGAAGCTCCACACCTTATTGTATTGACCTAACAATACATAGGACGAAGTATGCTTCATTTATAGTCATCTGGCAGCAATAGGGTTTAGAATCGACTTTACAATTTAAAAAAGATCTTTAGAATTAATGCTAATCTATAATATGCCACCTTAATTCTTCCACATACACATTCTGACTCTTATAACTGAATGATATACACAGGTTAAGGACCAAACTATGTATTTAAATCCAGTTTAAAAAGACAATCTGTACCATGCTGTTTAATAAATGTATTTCTGTGCTGGGGTTAAACTGTGAAATGTTGTGTTGTTTTAAAAAGATTAAATGCTTTTAAATCATATTTTTCACTCTTGAAAATAAATCACACCATAGTTTTTTTGTACTTGTCTCAGCTGTGCAAATCTGAGCTACTTAACTCTGTATTGAGCTGTCTATTTCTTACACAGGGTTTGAAGTATGTTAAAACTGATTACTTTTTTTTTTTTTAGAGCATTATTAAGAGCAGAAATGATCTTAAACTCAATACACTTTGTTTTCTTTGATTCCGTACAATAAATAAGCATGTGTCCTACTAATCATGATTAGTGGAAAATATTGAGAATTTAAGATTTTGTTATACAATGTAAAAACAAAAGAAAATTCTTAAATTCCATCCACTAGATTTTGTTACTCTGCCTATAACATTATACAATATTAAGAAAAGCTTTCATTTATTCTTTTTTAATTTTTTTTTTAGTTTGTTAAATAAATGTAGCAGTGTGTGATTGAGCTTGCTTTTAACCCCTTAAGGACCAAACTTCTGAAATAAAAGGGAATCATGACTTGTCACACATGTCATGTGTCCTTAAGGGGTTAAAGTCATTTAGGAGTATTCTCTAGTAAGAATTGTCAGACATTCACAGTGTATTTAGATTTAAGACCAAAGTAGTCAAATCAGATGCATAGTTGACTTGAATGATTTTTCCAGTTCAGCTATTTTTGACTTAGATTAGATAGTCACTTTGAATTTACATTACATCTCCAACATTTGTTTACTGTAGTGTGTATATATATATATATATATATATATATATATATATATATATATATATATATATATATATATATATATATATATATATTTCATATTGGGATATTTTCTTTCAACTAGTTTAATACAATAATACCAAATAATACAAGTCCGAACACTGTTTATAATTTTGCATTTATTGTAAATATATTCAGAGTTATTCACTAAAATGAGAATTCACAGGGATTTGCAAATGTAAGATAAAAATAGTTGAACTTGAAAAATTCTCTAAATCAGCTGTGCTGTCAATTCAGCTACTCTAGCCTTAAATGTGGAATTCACGTTGAATTCTTACTTAAGAAAAACAAACCCTGATAGAGTAGATTGAGAGAGTAATATATTAACACAGATTGAAACATTAAAGGGGAATACATCTCCCAAACCATGCTTCAATCAGCCACTCTGTACAGACTCATTTAAAAATGGTTTCTTAGCATATTCTTTAGATAATTCTCAGTATTACATATATACTTCATTAAAAAAAAGCTTACCGATAAACATAAGACAATTACTTAATTCTGCATTGACCCCCTTTTATAATTTTCTTAGAAGTTAAAGAGAAGTAGTTAGGATAAATATGATTAAAACATGGTATTATGGGACTGCTGTTTGGAAAGATTAGTACGAGGACAAACTGGGTGAATAATAGCTATTATTATAGCTAATTGGTTAGGAATATTTGTATTCACATAGCTTAATTGAAAAATGCTAATAGCTACAATTGCATGGGAAATATTGAAAAATGCTGATTTAAAGTAAAATCTGTCTTTGATTACACTTTAGTTACTGTAATTAATTATCTTGTAATTTTTACAATTTAAAATTTAAAGGGGTTTGAATACATACTGTAAGTAGTGGTTTCAGCTGATAGTAATATAATTAAACATGGAGTGTGTACTAGCAATAGTACAAGGTGAAATTATATCTCAGAATAAATATAAAATTATGATTGATCTTACTAGATGTTACTGCAGTGATAATGTTGTGATTAGTAATTTGTGAACAGGCAGAAATAAAAGTGAGAATTCTAAATAAATAAAACTAACTGCATGTATAACTAACTATACTGATACTGTAATGGACTACATCTCCCATAATTCTGAGCCACAAAATCAGCACTTTAGAGTATGAGATATTCACTAAACACCAAAGTTTGCAAATAAATCCAAATGACGTAATTGAGACTACATCAGCTTGGCTATTTTAGCTTTAGTTTAGCATTCTGGAATTAGTTAGCTAAAATTCAGTATTTAGCTAATAATCCTGGGTAGGTCAGAATCATTGGGAGGCAATAACCTTTATAGTTAATTGTGGGAGCTTATTCACTAAGCTGTGAATTATGCTGAATTAACTGTCATACGAAATTATGTCAAAACAGTTCGTTTAGGAACAAAGGCCTTGGATAAACATTTCAAATAATGTATTGACAAAATTTCCATTGTCTTTAATGGAGACTTATGTACATAAATTATTTGTAAAGTTTATCCAAATATATCAACATTGAGCCTAAAATGGATCACCACTCACTCCTTAGTGAATGAACCCTAGTATATAACATGCATCCAGATGTACATATAAAATGTAGTTCACTATGTTAACTTAATTAGAAAACACAAACCTGCCAGAAATTGACATTTATATTGTATTTCACATTCACTGTATGCTATATTTTATATAAGTTATAAAATCCTCATAAAGTTAAAGTACAGGTTTGAGTATTATTATTCTTATTAGATGGTTTATTTGCATGTGTAAGTATTAATATGTTAAAAAGTATAAATATGCCACTGCTCAATAACATGTGCGGCCAATTTATATATATATATATATATATATATAATTTTAAAAAATAATATATATATATATATATATATATATATATATAAATTGGCGCACATGTTATTGAGCAGTGGAGTGTTTTGTCAGAAAGGGAGTGGGAATCAAAGAAATGTCAACAAACTCCTACTCTCATTTACAAAATGTAATGTACAATGTGAGTCGGGCACTTTACTGTGAAACAGAAACTAAAATAAAAATAAATCTTTGCCTGTGATGGGGTAATACAAGTGATGACAATAATATTAACGATATTGTGACAGTGTAACATAAAACTGAGTACTTTAAAATTCTGGTGTCTAAGCCATGGAAAGAAAGTTCAGAATCAAGGGTAGGTCATAAGCAGGAAAACATGTATACACAAAATAATGTGTATAAATGAAAAGGAGAGAATGTTTCGTTTTATTTTTCTAAGCATTCTTTTCTCTACTTCATGGCCTACATTGTTTCCCAGCCATTCTTTTAGTGGGTTTTAGTTTTGCAATGTTTTCTATGTATGGTCAGGGTTGTAGTGGTGTGCTGAAATGTAGATAGATAGATAGATAGATAGACAGATAGATAGATAGATATTTTTTCTTTAGAGTGAAACAAAAAAATATACTTGGTTCTTGTTTCATTACTAATTCTGTCCTATCAGTACAATGAGAATTTTGTGGGAAAAATTAAATATAGCATCAAAATTGTACAATATGAATACATTTATCCTTCTAAACAGACAAACGTAAATTTCTCCTTTTAAGGGCTGGGTGGTAAGTCTGTGCAGCACAAAATGACTTACATCCCGACAGCCGTCTGATAAACACAAGCTTATGCTAAAGTTGAAAGAAAAATCCTGAGAATGTAAAATTTGTGTATAACAGGTGCGTATGCACAACTTCTTTCAATGCTTGGAGGTATGGCTGAGTATCGGGGTGAGAGACAGGTTCATTACAGGAATAGCTTCTGCAGCAAATTAGAACCCAGTGGTCAGTAACAACTAAACATTGCTCTATACATAAAATCTTATACTTTCTATTTGTCTTTAAAGATACGTATATTCCATACCTTTTTGAACTCCATTGTGTTATTTTATCTTGCTGTTTTACTCAGCCTCACTGTTTGGTTTACAATCACCTTTTTTACAGAATTGGACATTTTTCCATTTGCAAGTCCGTTGTCAACTCACTGCAATTTGCTTTCTAGCAAATAAAACCCAAAGTATTTTATTCCTATGATTTTATACATGGACACACACGGTGTCATTCTCTAAATTCCAAAATGTAGCAAATCCAAATGACAAAATTCAGGATAGAATAGTCAAGCTGAGATTATAGCTGAGATGACGAATTTTTCCAGATCTACTTTTTTAGCCCCGATTTTGCCGTTTGGATTTCAATTCCCTGGAATTTGGAGTTTAGTGAATAAACCCCATGGTGTTGTAGTTTACTGCAGAATGTGAGTTAACACGCATAATTAACTTCAAGTTCATATTTTTACCACGTGTGCATTCACTGTGTGTGGGATATTGTAGGACATTTGTGGACAGGTGTTTCTGCAGAAGGCTTTTATTGGTAATAATGATGAGCTTCGCATTACATGCTACACAAATACCAACTTTCTTCTATGGAAGAAAATTGATGGGAGTGTGTGGTTATTAGAGAGCAAAAAAACTAAAATTAGATAAAAAATAAATTGTGTAAAGGCAAAAGATAGGGAAAGTATGTCAACTTGGCGCATGGATTCACTATATGGCCTCGATTTAATAAGTGCTTTGTAGATACAGCAATGTTTACATTGCAGGGCCAAATACAGATTTGGTGGCTGCCTTCCAGACAGTCACTGCAGGATACTTCCGAGACATTAACCAAATTTAACTCTGTTATATGACATTCAACATCGACAATCATCAAATGCTGATATAAGAAAGTAGTAAAAGGAAGTACAAAAAGGTGGCACCACAGAGATATGTACAATTAAATATAAGCAAGTAGTAATATAGAAATAAACAATGATATATAATACAGAGAGAGAACAATGAAAATAATAATATATATATATATATATACATAAAAATAAAAATGGTAGGTAACAGCACTCTAAGGACTTCAAAAAGTAAATGGTGAAAAAAACTTAGCTTTTATTCAGCAACTGCCACACACAATCGACGTTTCAGTTCTTAATACAGAACTTTCATCCTGACGTCGATTGTGTGTGGCAGTTGCTGAATAAAAGCTAAGTTTTTTTCACCATTTACTTTTTGAAGTCCTTAGAGTGCTGTTACCTACCATTTTTATTTTTATGTTATTTGCTTTATTAGCACCAGGCATTAATCTATCTCTACAGGAGTGCAAGTATTTGAATATTTGTATATATATATATATATATATATATATATATATATATATATATATATATATATATATATATATATATATATATATATATATATATATATAAAGCACAGTCCAAAAAGAGTCCAGTAAAACCTTAAGATGAGAGAACAATCAAAGTTCTATCTGAGTAGAGACGTCTATGGAGTAGTGGGATCAAGGGGTTCGTGGGATCCGTATGAAAGAGATAAGAAAATCTAATAGTGCAATTAAACCCAAATAGGTAGCAGTAAATAAAAAAGGTCTATATGGTACTACTCACGGTTTTGAGAGCTAAAAACTAGCTCTAGTATAAACACCGTACAGTGGTATAATCCCCACTTATGGGATACGTAAGGGAGTGTTGTAAGTAGATATCTTGTCAGATGGGGACCATATGTAACATAAAAAACAACAATAGTGCTCACTGTGATAAAACCAGGAGAGTGTCTAAAAATACCAAATGGTTACTCACATTTAATTGGGCAGACGCACTGCTCAATGATAGGGCGTAAGTGGTATAATCCCCACCAAGGATGCTTTGGAGCAGTATCTCTCTGGAACAAGTAAAACTCAGATGCCAGGTAGTAAAATAATAAAAATGGTAAAAAACATAAAGTGGCTAACTCACAACAAAGAAAGTGGCCAAAATACCTTTATTCAAATACAGTTAGTTAAAATTTCCACAATGCGTATTTATCCCCTTAGGGCTTTCTCAAGTGGATAAAAAGAAAGGATTTTTATCCTCTTGAGAAAGTGGCCAAAATACCTTAATTAAAATACAGTTAGTTAAAATTTCCACAACACGTTTCTCCCCTTAGGGCTTGCTCAAGTGAATAAAAAAAAGTTGCTTTTTTTTCCCTATCATTGAGCAGTGCGTCTGCCCTATTAAATGTGAGTAACCATTTGGTATTTTTATACACTCTACTGGTTTTATCACAGTGATTGTTGTTTTTATGTTACATATGGTCCTCATTTGACGAGGTATCTACTTACAACACTCCCTCACGTATCCTATAAGTGGGGATTATACCACTGCACGCTGTTTATACTAGAGCTAGTTTTTAGCACTCAAAAATGTGAGTAGGACCAAATTGACCTTTTTTATTGGCTGCTACCTATTTGGGTTTTATTGCACTATTAGATTTTCTTTTCTCTTTCACACGGATCCCACGAACCCCTTGATCCCACTACACCATAGACGTCTCTACCTCAGATAGAACTTTCTCTCATCCTAAGGTTTTATTGGACTCTTTTTGGACTGTGCTTTTTATATATATATATATATATATATATATATATTTATTTATTTTTATATATATATATATATATACCTATTATTATTTTTATTTTTCTCTCTTTGTATTATATATCATTGTTTATTTCTATATTACTACTTGCTTATATTTAATTGTACATATTATCTCTGTGACGCCACATTTTTCCACTTCCTTATACTTATATACCTATAGGGCCTGTGAGGGAGCCCTATCCTTTAGGTGTGCTGCCTTTATTTAAGTTTTTAAGCGCTGATCCTTCTGTACACTTTTCACATATGGAAGCAGTGTATTGGACGAGAAGATAAAAATGAGACTGCCTCCAGAAAGATATCACCAGAGGTGGTAAGGGTAGCTGGATGGGTTTAGAAGGGCCCTCAATCGAAATTGAAAGTAGAGTAGAACACTAAAAACAAAAATGAAGCAAGAATGAATTAGTGAAAACAACGGAACCAACATGACACTCCAGGGGTGTTTTAGGGCCCATCGCTAAGATAAACAAAAAATAGGAAAAAAGGCACTACCTCACTAAAAGTGAAGAAATGCCACCTGGATATAATAAATACCCCCTCTAAATCATACTGATTATAAATTATTATAAAAAGCAAAGCTTCTAGCTGTGTAGGTGAAGGAAATAAGAAATCAAGAGTTGAAAAATTGGAAATCAAGCGCTGTTAGGTTAATTCCTATCCTGATTTCTCCGTCTCCAGGCTTCCCCAATCTCTGGCCCTCCAAATGTTGCTGAACTACAACTCCCATGATTCTCAGAATATCTATTTCATTCATAGAATCATGGGTGTTGTTGTTTAGCAACATCTGGAGGGCCAGAGTTTGGGGAAGCCTGGCCCAGACCATAACGGGACTAAAAGTAGAACACTATACTGTTAGGAATACATGTTTGTATTTCTAATGCAGTAGGAATATGATTTTTTTCCTTTTAATAGAGCTACTAAATATATTTACAAATAATTTTTTATATATATATATATTTGTTCCAAACGATACCATTTTATATTTATTTATATATCATATTAGATTTTTGATAAAGTAACATTAAAATAAATGGAAACAAGCAAAGAAAATGTGATACCTATATTGGCTCACTAAGTAGATTAAGGGCTCTACTAGACATTTAACGGCCTATCTCTCTTACTTTAACTTTGCTTAGTTAGCCAATTAAGGCATCAGCTTTACACTACTCATCTCCTCCTATTTCTATTGCTAAATACGTCATCCTTTTAGCCTAAGTTCCTTTTAAAGTATTTGCACAAATAGTATGCCTGTTAACATATCCTACAGCAGTACTTGGAGCAGTATAAAACTATAGCTTTAAATGTATCCACACAGAGAGCGCAAGTTTGATCCACAGACATTTGATAGTTCTTCACTTTCAATTGGGAACTAATAAAAAGGTCAATGAAGTTACAGAGGTTTCTTGAAAGATAGATATCCACAGCCACT